TCGTAGATGGGTACTGTGTGAGAGACACCATCTCCACTGTCAAAGACAATACCAGTGGTACGACCAGAAGCATACAGGGACAAGACAGCCTGGATGGAGACATACATTGCAGGACAATTGAAGGTCTCGAACATGATCTGGAAAAAAATCCGTGGTTATTTTATGAATTAGTCATGTTATCTTATTGGATTTACCCGTTTAACCGAAAAACACTGGCGTGGCTCGTGGCTAGACGAGCTTTGGAGTGAAACGAAAGACCAATCCCCGCATCGTATACGAGCCTGTTACGTCCTTTGAGAAGGACTCTGAAAGGGTCTAATGTGTGAATATATCTTATATGAATATGTAATGTTATGTCTGGACACCATTATATTTCGTGACCTATATCAGTGCTTTGCCTAAATACTTTGTTATCGTGACTAGAGAACATACTTATTATAAAGTGCCGCATTATCAAAATACACCCAAAGCAATGATGGAACCCCTTCCATATGTCATACATATAAATAACATTTGTTATGAAATGTTCGCAAGACAAAAGGGTTTATATTTATCTTATATTTTTTTACAGAATGCGCCAATCCCAGGCTCGATTTACGTTTGTCGGCAAACATGCATTAAAACGGAATTATCTCGTCACCTCTACTGTAGTACGTTTTTCAGTTTATGGCCTTTTCAATTCTATCCTCATTTGTCCGAATAACATTCGAGTCAGTACTACAGGTTAATTATAACATTTTCCCCCCATTTATTTCTTCATTTTTAAAATGATAATGATAATAATTGCCCAAACATTAATAATCAAGATTTTAGACAACATCTCAAAATTTAGCCATGCATTCGACACAAATAAGATAGCGGGGTTTTTTTCCCTTCTCGTTATTGATCTTAAAAAGCTTTTTTATATGACTGATTTCGTGTATTTAAACGCTAAAATTAGTTTTGTATAAAGAATAATAGGATTGCAATTATCATGATCTCTGAAAGAACATGCCTGATTTAACTGAAAAAAATCGAAGAGATTTGACGTTTCCATGTCTTGATCGCTGGACGTCATTGCTCAAGATATTAATACTTAGTCAGGATTCCTATTGTTTTCCTCGTGCACCGACAATTGGTCAAAAGATTTCAGTTTCTACTAGTTGTTCTGTGGTTTTCATACCCAGCACACTAAATTGCAATTTGATTTGTGAGTGAGCCATACGCTGCCCTGGCGACATAAGGTGAATTTGAACCTTCGTTTTAAGTTGCTTTTACCAACAGACAAGGATCTGCATTTTTAATTCTATTCAAATGGCAATTTTTGGTCATCGCATCTTAGGAAAAACAAGGCAGTACAAAACCTTCTCAATCAGATTACTGCTGCGATACTATGGCTTTTATTATGGCTTATATTAAAATATATAAACTAATGTTCCACTTGATCGAATGATTTGGTAACAAAGAGTTCCAGGTATTCACTAGGCAAAGGATACGTCCAATGCCATGTCATATATGGTCGAGGTCACTATAGTATGGGGCCACGAAACTGAGCCTTTGTACTTTGCTGTTTTCTTTCAGTTCTATGATTGGCATTCCTATCCCTTTTACATCTTTAAGTTCTCGCCTTTCGGTTGCATTGTATTGTTCATGCAGATATATAAGATACGTCTGATGGAGACCAGCAAAGATAGGTGGTGTTTATAGACTAAGATGTTGTTAAAGATTATCATTTTACCTGTGTCATCTTTTCTCTGTTTGCTTTGGGGTTCAAAGGAGCTTCAGTCAGCAAAATTGGGTGTTCCTCGGGAGCTGTACGTAGTTCATTGTAGAAGGTGTGGTGCCAGATCTATCGAATGAGAAAAAAGAAACTTTTAGTCAACAAACTACAACAAGTTGTGAAGCAAATGAGTTGAAATCTTACCTTTTCCATGTCATCCCAGTTAGTGACGATTCCATGTTCGATGGGGTATTTAAGGGTCAGAATACCTCTCTTGCTCTGAGCTTCATCTCCGACATACGAGTCCTTCTGACCCATACCAACCATCACTCCTTGATGTCTTGGACGGCCAACGATGGAGGGRAAAACTGCACGAGGAGCATCATCTCCTGCAAAGCCAGCTTTACACATACCTGAACCGTTATCCAATACTACAGCAGGGGCTTCTTCGTCTTCCATGTTGCTTTGTCCCTGGGATTAAATCTCTTTGAGGAGCAATGAATGTTAATCCTGGAAGGATGCTGCACTTGTCAAAATGATGCATCTCTTGCGAGTATCACCAGTTCTATATTAAATGTCTATGCAAATATGCAAAACTTGACGGGCGCGACATACCCTGAGGCGGGTCAGTTTGTCGGTAGTTTAAGTGAACACACAAATCTATTGAAATATTTGAATTCTCTGAGTGCACACCATATATACGTGAAATAGTACTAACTCAGATTAGTAGAAATAAATGCATGTGGTTAGTGCTATTTGGCTTTTCAGCTATGTCACTGCTATCAAATTTATTGTTTTTGATTCGCGTGCTAGCTGTTTCCCGCCTTTTTCTCGAAACATGCGCAGTAAGCATCACTGAAAAATCAATCAAAAACAAAAGCTAGGTCCCAGCCTATTTAGGCTTGAAATCAGACAATCAATATAGTCATGCGATGCACGTGAAAAAAGAGGCTTCGTGTTTTAAAAGTGAAGCAGGGATGCCATAGTCAGTATATATATATATATTCTGAACTCCCATTTCAAATTCCTGGTCAATTTTTTTGTTACGTATAAACACTGAATCAATATCTAAATGTATCTCATGATCCGTTGCTACCAAAAAAATCGAAGTTATTTTAACGCCGAGAGAGTTTCAATTTCAATTTCAGTTTAAGTTTCTATGGAACCATTTATCCAACTTTTTATTTAGTTTGAAAATTATATACTCTAAGGGTTGGGTATTTTAGTTCAAATAAACTCCAGTCGTTTTTGTGATTTTTTGGCATGTTTTATTTTTATTCACATTGGGATCGATTTGATTATGCTTAACAATATTACAAAGACCTAATTGATATTGCAATCTGAGAGCAGAGAAACAAATATGCATAAATGAATGTGCACAAGTTGATATTACATTGCTTTAAGGCCTAAAATTTTTTCTTGTTGAGAATTACACCAAGGTTTGATAATTGGTTAAGAAATTTTTCAATTTTGAAGAATTCTAGAAAAAATTAGCTCAGTTCGTGTGGGTTAAGCTGCGAAGTGGGTCTTCAAGGATCTAGAAGCATTTGCGGTGAACAATTGAGGGGCCAGATTCATCGTATTCCTGCTTGGAGATCCACATCTGTTGGAAGGTGGACAGAGAAGCGAGGATGGAGCCTCCAATCCATACAGAGTATTTCCTCTCTGGTGGAGCGATGATCTTGATCTTCATGGTTGG